AGAATTCAAACCTCATCGAGACGACCCAAAAACATCGCAACCACTTCGGACCGACCGCAACTGGTTGCGATCGGTCCGAAGTGGTTGACGACTGGTCCGAAGTGGTTGCGATCGGTCGTGCTCGCGTGGGGGGGGGGAGGTGCTCGCCAGGAAGGCACGGAAGGCGTGCTGGATCACCACGGCGCCCCCGTGCTGGGCGAGATCCCGCCGCACCCCGGCGACGCGCCGCCTCGCCTGCGGGACGGGAAGGGGGGAGGAGGGAGGGAGGGAGGGAGGAGGGAGGAGGGAGGGGGGAGGAGGGATGGGGAGGGAGGGAGGATTTTTTGGATTGGCTCGCTGAAGCTGAAGCAAACGGTTTGTCGAGACTGGGCGGCGCTGCAGCTAGCAGCGCCGCCCAGTCTCGACAAGGAGGGAGGGGGGAGGGAGGGAGGAGGGAGGGGAAGGGAGGAGGGGGGAGGGAGGGAGGGAGGAGAGAGGAGGGAGGAGGGAGGAGGGAGGGAGGAGGGGGGAGGAGGGAGGGAGGAGGGAGGAGGGAGGGAGCGCATACTTGATGCCACTGCGGACCCCTTCTGCTGCTTCCTTCTCTTGCCTGCCTGCGCTCGCCCAGGCCTGCTTCGTCGGCGACGGCGCCAAAGAGTCGGTGCCGAAGGCGCGGGCATCTCCTCCCTTCTCCCTCCCTCCTCCCTCCTCCTTCTCTTCCTCCCTCCCTCGACTGATTAGGATAGGAGGAGAAGGATTAGGATAGGAGGAGGAAGAAGAGAAGGAGGAGTAGTGGTTTCCGGGTCCTAAAACTCGGGTCTCCGGCTGGGTGGTCTTCGCTTCCTCGTGCACTTTGCGAGACATCCACGTCGCTGGTAGCTTGTTGGCACGCTGCTTCTGCCTCTGCCACCTTCGCGCGAGCTTGCGCCAACGCCTCCAGCTTCGCCGACTGGCACTGCCACGTCATCCTCTCCGATTTAGCCGCCTGCTCCACATTTTTAGCGAGCTAGGTCCTCTTGGCCGCCACGAGCGCGTCCAACTCAGTGGCAGTCGGCGGCTGCGGGGGAGCCTTGGCTGGCAGAAAAGCTTGACGGGGCTGCCGAAGACTTGGGAACGCATGCATCGCTGCTTGAACTTGCTGCGGAGGAATCTCAACGGACATGTCCTCTCCTTTCTAGAAACTGCTGACGCCGATTCTGATGAAGTGTGTCGATATGGGCACCCACACTTGGAGCAAGACTTGTGCCCCCAGTAGGTGTACTCCCAGTGTCCGCACTTGTTGTTGCCACACACGCTGTAGGAGTAGCTCTGGTCCTCGGTTCGACGTTGCCGAGGCCGACGCACACCACCTGCACCACGAGGACAGCCAACTTGAGAAGGCTGGCCCTGCCATACCCACGTCGCGCGGGTCCACTGCTGGACATACGCGCCCACTGCATACACTGGAAAGGACAAAACTCAGCCCCTATAGAGAGTGTGGGGGCTATTCTCTGGTGACAATCTCGCTCTGCCAATGGGACTTGGGCCTGCCGCGCGGCTGCGGACAAGCTCGAAGCCTCGCGGCAAGCTTTCGACCTGGAGCCAAACTGGCTACGGGGAGGAGGAGGAGGAGGAGGAGGAGGAGGAGGAGGAGGAGGAGGAGGAAAAGGAGGAGGTGGAGGAGAAAGAGGAGGAGGAGGAGGGAGAGGAGGAGGAGGAGGAGGAGGCGGGAGAGGAGGTGGAGGAGGCGGAGGAGGAGGCGGAGGAGGAGGACAAGGAGGAGGCAGAGAGAGGGCGGGGCGCGCCTGCGCGCCCCTCCACGCGCTCTGGAGCCTCCGCGCCGCTGCGGCCTCCGCGGCCCTCCGCCAGCCCGCCTCTCATCGGCGCGGAACGGCGCAGGGCGGCGGCGGCGACGACGTGATAGCACGGGGGGAAGCGGTTCCCGGTGGAAGCGGGTCCTGGGCCCTGGGCCCTTGCCCCGGGACGAGTCTTTCATCCTGGGTGGTTTTCTGACAAATCCCCCGGGGTCCGCCAGAGGGTCCCCGGAGCCCGCCAACGGCGAAAAAACTCGGAGCCCGTTTCCCTCAGGACCCGTTTGCCCAGACAATGGAACAACTGGGCCGACAAAGCGCCACGTTTGCCAGTATGCTCGGCCAGACATGTTCTGAGAACATCTCGCGCAGACCACAAGAGGCGCTCAGAACTCTCTTTGGTGCGGTCCAGAAGCAAGCCAGGACGCTTCGCCAAGGCTCGAAAAACGTCTCACCACGGCGTCCTGGCATTAATCCAGCGGGCCCTGAAAAACACGGGTCCTGGACACCGGGGGCCCCCTCCCCACGATGAGGTCGGGCATGTTCTCCCACAGGCGGACGTTCTTCGGGGAAGTTAGATCATCTCCAAAACATATCCAAAAAGGAATCCAGACAGAGTAGAAACATCGTCCTCGGACTATTTTTTCGCTCTTCTTGAATATTCCTCGGGCAGAGCGAGGGGCGTGCCCGACTTGACCCCAGGACGAACTTTTCGTCACGAGTCGTTGCCC